CCAATACACTTCATACATTTTTATACCTTCTTGAAGATGAATTTGATCATGATGTTGCGCCAATGATGGTTTTACTTATAACATCTGTAATGTATTGGTTCAGAAGTTAATATGTGCACGCCGCGGTATCCAAACTGCATGCACGCAGTTTAATTTTGCTACACTGACAAACTGTGCACATATCAACTTAGCATCATACAAGTGTTTTCAAACGTCAATTTAAGACATTTATTCCTCATTGTTTTGTAGTTCATACGCCCATTTGGGGGTGATAATATGATTCTACCATGTGATAGCGAAAGTTCTCTCTAGATTAACGTAGTTTTTAAAATATAAGCAGATTAATAAAAAATTATCATCGGTTTTTCGATTACTGACACATAAGTTAAGATGTCGCACTTTTCACAGAAAAAGAAAATACTTTATTACTTAAACTATATGCAGCAATCCTGTATCTTTCAGTATATGCAAACACAAGGGCTGAATAGACTTCAAATTACGACAAACAGACATTATAGGACGCAACACTGTATAATTTGAACACGAAAGCTCCTTAGGAACATTATATTGAGATAACTAGGTTTACACCAGGAGTCGTGTCCTCCTCGACTGCCATTTTTAATTGCGCAGTTTGTAAGGGTTTCAAACTGCGTGCATTGTATGCATGCAGTTTGGATACCGCACCGTGATGTGATAACATAACATAACATGGCAAAATATTGTCCCTTCAATTACACAGTAGGATTCATTGATATGTCAGTTATCTTATTTTTTGAGTCATTGGGTTAAAATAAACAAACTGTTATTTTTGATGGCCTGGAGTTAGTGCAATACCATATATCAATTTTATTATACCATGTTGTTAGACTTATAGCAATACATTTAAAGATTTTTTCCTTATCCTGAGTTTCAATAAGAAAGGCTTCTGAAAAACATGAATATTTATGTTTGTGATATATAACATATATTTGCTAATGATACAAGTGAAGCAAATATACTCAATTTTGAACTTGACAAAATAAAATATGATGTCATTTACATCCTGGTTCTGGTCTAGTTTCAAAATAAATCTGAGATCAAGTTGAAACAAAATGCAAGAAGGTAAATCTACGGTTTCAGTTTTCTTGCAAAATAGTTGATTTACCCTTTTAATAGAGGACTCGCTATGAAGATTGATATATACAATGTACTGTGGCAGCAGTTTTGGTTGGGTTTGAATACTAAAACTTTATGTCTAGTGCCAGAATACTCCCTCACCACACATATGATTGTGTGCTTTCATAGTAGCATGGGCTTTCAAGAAGCTTTTGATATTACCCAGAAAAATAGCTTATAACCACGCCAACTTTATATTAGAGCATTAATAATCCTGGTTGGATGTATGAAAATGTAAAAATAATATATGTCCACAATCATATATGAAGTGATGTGCAGGTTAAAGCCTGACCACTTCTACCATCTTCAGTATTAACCCATCTATATATGTGTATTAAGTCCTCTATTTAGTTTAGGTCAGGGCATATTTGTATATTGTGGTTTTCTCAATACTATTATATATTGTTTAAAAAGTTTGCTATCAAAAGTCATTATCTTTAGCAGCTAGAGGGTCCAGGTTGTAAATAACATAGGGGTTCTTTTTATTTAACTTTATAACTGTTTTCATTCAGATCATAAACATGTTGAATTGTCTCCCTCCCTTTGATTTATATATGGTATTAAACTCATGTAGTATCACAGTACAAACTTACATTTTACGGATTTTTGTTGGTACCTCATCACACTTGAATACTGAAGATTTGTAGGGCCAAGCCCCCCCCCCTCCTAGAATGGGACCAGCAAAAATTATTAGGGCCCCAATTAGTGGGTCTTCTTTGGCATTACTGGGCTTTTTTGGCCTTGTTTTTTTTTTAATTTTTGGCCAATTTAACAAGAAAATCTGCCTCAAATTTTTTGGTTTTAGGGCCCCCCTTTTTCATTTTCAGATCTGTCCCTGGAGGTTATGTTGAATGACTAAATAATTTGTCAGAGGACAATACTTATGACACTACTAATTGTAGAATTTCTTTTATTATTCTATTGAAGTTTGTTTAGAGCATGCCTTTATCTGTCCAGTGTCTGTCCTGCTATATCCCATATACTGTAGTCAATAGTTCAGATGCCAGTAGGTAGTTACCAGTTTCACCACCAGGTGGATAATTAGGATCAGATAACATGACAGATACAGTAGAAAGTTCCCTTTAACTCGAATATATATCAGTTAAAAGAGGATCAGTTTTCATAAAACCCTTATGTGTGTCTGATAAGAAAACACATGTACAGGCCTCCTAGACTTCCAGCAATGCGATCAGTTCTGAACTCGCGAACTAAGTTCCTTGCGCTTGAATCACGATTCTCACATCGTGAACATGAAATCTTTAGTCGCGTGCCACCATTTCCTCGCTCCCGAACATATTTCTCCACTCCACACAGAGATCCATGTTCGCGAACAATTTGTACATGTGCATCCTGGTATTTGGGATTCCAATTACAGGGCTGTCAACTTGGGACCACCTAATATGAGTGACTTCAAAATGTAGTAGTTACGAAAAATTTTCAATGAACATGCGTGACACATACGGGATTCGCGTGACAAATCCGAACAAATTGCGTTCGGTTTTTTCCGCCGTTCGTATTTTTACCGTATCGTAAACATATTTCGAAAAAATTTCTACAGAAATATTTTTGCGTGACAATTGCCAGGTAAAATGCGTATTTTGCGTGACATTATCAGTCACGCAAAAAAAACTGGCGTGACTTCAAATTCTTCAGCAAATGCGTGACAAATACGCAAATTGCGGGACAGTTGACAGGCCTGCAATTACAAGCAACAAGAGGAGTCTGGTTGCAGTTTACATTGACCTTTATACATGTACATGTGTATTTCAATAGAGTCATAAACTCTCCGCAGCTAATGAAAAGCCATGTTTTTGTTTTTATTACCCATTTCACTGAAAATGTCAATGCGTATGATCGCAAAGTAGTCCCAATGTCAGAGCTGTCAAGTGTCCCGCGAATGGCGGGATTATCCCGCGAATTTGATCAAAATTTGGCTAATTCGCGTGTCCCGCAATGTCCCGCGAAATCCCGCAAATGTCGGCTTTGACCTCCGCGAATTTCCAAAATTATAACAATTCCCAAGGCTAAATAATTGTGATTATCTAGTGATATAAGAAGCTAAGTTTTTGCGCTTTTGAGGAGTAAAGTTTACCTAATTTGAAAAGTGGTGCCAAACTCCCAGAGCATCAGATCATCGAAGACTTATAAAGAGCATATAGTCCATTTATAAAACTGTGATTTTGATCCAAATAACACCATAGTTGGTTTCTCAAGTACCTAGTATGCCGTTATAGTGGTATCAAAATAAAGAGGAAGAGTGCAATTTTCATAGGTGCAATAATCAGTGCAGAGGGGTCATTCAACGATCATGGACCAGTGTCAAAATATATTTAAGTTTGGATATTTCATCAAGACTAACATCTATTTTTATTATCTACAAAGAAACGCCCTAGATAAACATTATTTTAGCTGATATTCCTCTTGAAACATGGTGGGTCTTAAAAATATAAAAGTGGAAGTCCCCTTTTTGAAGCTTTGAACTGAATTTACACTTCTAAATGCTGAAATTGATAATTTATCCATACATTTTAAGAAAATAGGTATGTCAAAGAAGATGTTAAACCAAATGTTTCCTTGATAGCTCAGAAAAAATGAAAAAACTTTCCTATTTTCTCTACAGTCCTTATTGCCCCTTTGATTACGAAAATATAGGGATGTATGGAATAGTTCCAACGTTGGCCTTTTTACTACGCGTGTCACGGCCTTCATCTCAGAACTGAGAGAACTGAGAACTGATAAAAAAAACGTGACTCCCCTATATGAATAGGTACATTTTAATATAATATGTTTCACAGTTGGTCACGAACGCCATAAGTGCAAAGTATTGTTCGGAATTTTTGAATATCGTGTTGGATTACAGTACTCACACCGTAATTTTTTTGATTTTTAATAGTTTAATAATATTTCTATACGTATTTTGTGGAATTGTGTTGACGTTTACTAAAGTTAAGTGCATTATATTTGATAAATCAGTATCTGAAAGTTTGATTTGAGTACTTTTAATTTACAGTAAGCCCCAATCACACAAATCCCTTGAATGTCCTGCGACATCCCGCAAATTTAGGTGGATGTCCCGCAAAATCCTGCGACTTTAGGACACTTTGTCTAAAAAAATCTGTCCCTCTGTCCCGCAATTTGCGTGTTTGTCCCTCGAATGGTCCCGCGAAATCCCGCGAATTTGATCAAAATTTGACCCTATTAGCGCAATCACGCAAATGCCTTAAATGTCACGCAAAATCCCGCGAATTTAGGTGGATGTCCCGCGAAATCCCGCGAATTTTTGGCACTGGGTCTAAAAAATCTGTCCCGCGAGAGAAACTTTGGGGGTTGACAGTACTGCAATGTTTTGTGTTTCTTGGAGCTTGAAGATGATGTTATCTTCAATAAGTGGATATTCATTAACATGCATGAAAACTGGAAAAGTATTTCTACCGAATTCCAAATAAAAACACTCATTGAAATTTTAGTTATGCGCAACAATACAAATAAAATTACAGACTTTTTTCGATCAGGTGTGTGGTTTGCAAGCACGGATTTTGTTTTCGAGTAGAGAAATGTGTTTGGGACCAAGGAAATGGTGGTGCGTGACTAAAGATTTCTCGTTCGTGACGTGAGAATCGTAGTTCGAGCGCAAGAAACGTAGTTGATGAGGTCAGAACTGATGTCCGCATTGTTGGAAGTCTAGGAGGCCTGGTCAGTAAAAGAAAATATCATCTGTCAAACACAAGAAAAGATATCTTACTTTTTGTGATTTTATATCATGTTATGTCATAATTTAATGTGTTTTCTAGGTGTGATTATTACATATATAGAAGTGAGATGTAGAGCCTTGTACCAACAAAGAGATGTGGAATACTTGTGTCAGCTGTATGGAACATTGCATCAATAAGGTAATGAACACATTTGAGACTGTTTCTTGAAAATATTAGGAATTATTATGTATCCAATATGTAACACTAATCCTACTATTTCCCGAAGCGGATATTTGAACTATTATATTGCCGGCTGATGTCACAATTGCAACTTCTATTACCTCTGGAAAAAGCTTCCTAAATATGTCTGTGTAATTTCAAGTGTTTATTGAATTGGCCAAGTGATAGTCTCATAAATTGCTTAGGAAAAATCTGTAGAGCATATCATGACGTCACGCCTTATAATGCTAAAAATGGACCTGGGGGGGGGGCTTTCTCATCCTATTTTGGCCCTCGGTGAGGAAACAGAAAAAGAGTCAGTATTGGGTATATAATAGAACAAATAGTGACTGCCTTAATTCAATGGGAGACTTTGGATATCAGATATATCCCAGGGGTTGTCTCGGCCTAAAATAAAAAAATGCTGCAGTAATTTTTTTAGCTTATTATCTAAATTACCTAGTTTATGTGAAGAGGAACAGATTTTTAGGGGGGGGGGAGCATGGGCCACTCTTTTAGGGGGGGGGGGCAGGGGCAGGGGTCACTGTCCACCACTGCATCCTGAGTGAAGAAGATTAACCACATCTAATGAAGGAATAACTAAGTACAGTATATGTAGTTTGTAGAATACATGTATCTCATACCAACTGATTGTTCTAGCTTACTCGAGTCTCTAGCTTACAGCTAGATGTGCCATCTAGTATATTCTTCTCAAGTTAAATCTAAAACCTCCCAGTACATAACTCTGATATGCGCAAAAGAAATTAAAATTCTTCCTTGGTTCAGTTCAAAATTGCTGCTTTTCAAATGACTGCATGAATGGCCATATTAACACACTCAGGTCTTTACTGCGTTCATGGATGGGAGCCGAGTGAACGAAGATGACAAACTGCCAAATTAGGTGGCTCTTACAGTTCCCCTTATTTTTCCAACCCTTGAGACTTTGGCATCAGGACAGAAATAACAATACAACAATTTAGTAGAGGTACTTGAGCATTTATGTAAACTACTATATGAGGCTGCTTAAAAAATAAAGTGGCCTAAAACTGACAGGGGTACTACTAATTGTTACTTTGGCTTTATAACTATAAGACTGCAGGAAAGAAAATATATTAATAAGACTGCAGGAAAGTTTAGAATTGTAGAAAGGCCAGAAATATGGATAAGTGTTTTGAGTCAATAGAGCAATTCAATATTTTTGCATGAGATTAAGGTAACTCTTGCTGTTTTGTCTGATCCATGGGTTTAGCATAACATAGTAAAGTAATGCCTCAAGTTATGGGATGGACTATGGGCTATCAATACAACAAGCCCATGATTACCATTTACTCTCTTTGAAAATATAATGGTTTCACATTGAAAAGGGAAAGTGTTAGCATCAATTGTATAAATGCTGGAACATTGTAATTTCGTTGTATTGAAAAAAACTCACTTCCATTTTGGTGATTTATTATTTTTTCAGTGCAGGTCTCTCACATGTACTTCCTGTAAACTTCCTGACAGTTTGACAATGTTTCAAACCACAGATAAATAACAATTTATAACTTTTTGGCAGAAGTTGTAGCTGGAAAGTCTGGAACAGATTACAAATAGACAAACTATCTAAACTTGGCTTTATATAATTTTACTTGAAATCTTATGAGAAAACTGTCTATCAGTTATGCTTTAAAATCTAGAATAGATTAAAAACTAGGGGAACAAAACTTAACAGCATGTAGCCAGCATTGTAAATAAAGAATTGCAAGCAATTTTGAAATAAGCAATTCATCCAGTAATGGACCAATGACTGTCAGAATATACAGTTTCTAGATTCCCAACCTAGGCCAGGCTTATTAAATAATGTGTTTAACAAAACATTTTATTTCCTCTAACACACTCTCTTGGGAAATTATCTATTTGTCTTGATGATATTTAAGGTTCTTCATCCCTTCAGCATCTCTTTCTTTCTTAATTATATACTTTGTAAATTATCCCATCGAGTGAAGTTTGAAGGGATATAGGGAACGCCTCTGTTGATCAGGGCGTACATACATCCGTAAGGGTGATAACTCAAATACCGTTGGTCCTATTTTGTTCATATTTTGTACACATATGCCCTATGGTTGCCATTTAAGTGCCGTTCATATAGTTATTAAGGTACAATATATAAAACATAGCAATATGTTAAATATGTAAAAAAAAAAGTCATATAGGACATTAGTAAAGCTAGAAATATAAATATTTAAGAAAAACATGGCAGCCATCTTTAAAAATGGTGGCCATTATACATTATTTTACAATTTTTGCTGTAACTTGAAAAGTAGTGGAGCGATTTTGTTCATATTTGATATGTGAATACTCATAAGCATGACATACTATTTTACCCCACTATTTTTAGAATGGCCATCATTTTTACATGTGTAATTTTATGTTTTTACCATAACTCAAAAAGTAATAGAGCGACTTGTTCATGTTTGATATGTAAATGCTCGCAAGCAAGCATGGCATACTGTCTTATGACACTTTGGCTAGTAGGTGGCCATTTTGAAAAATGGCTGCCATTTACATATACGTGTGTGCGCGATTTTGTTGAAATTTTGTATGTGCTTACTTAGAGCACATATATGTATAATGATAATAAGTGAGAGCACATAGAGCACATATAAATATTATTACCCTTTCTTATGACAATTTGACTAGTGAGAGACCATTTTGAAAATGGTGGGTATTTTTATGTGTTATTTTACGTTTTTTTCAATAACTGAAAAAGTCATAGAGGATTTTGTAGGAATGACAGCCATGGCTGTTCGATGGGATCTGCTATGCTTTGGCATTGCTGTTATCTAGTTATTATCATTTTTCATTTGAGTGTTCTGATAAAGGTCATTGGGAATATTTATTTATTTCTATCCTTACATTTTTTTATTTATATTATTTGAAGAATGTACAAATCTTTTTATGGAATATAAGCAAATTGGAAAGACATCAATCTATGACAATTTAGGAAGTAAAACAACTTATTTATTTATTCTGGCCTTTACCTACTAGTCTAGTGGTTAGCTGGGCAAGCAGTGAGTTAGTGTTAATACATCAGCAAGTGCACTGGTCAAAATGCTGGTACACGCTAGAACTGGAAGAACACATGTAATATACTCACAGGCATATTTTTTATGAGTTAAGTGATTAATATGTAAATTACTTAGAGTATAAGATGTAGTCACACAATGAGGAAAAAACAAACAATTCCAAGACTTAGAACTTGAATGTGAGGAGAGGCATAGCTACATTAAAAGTTAATAAGTTAAGATGGGATGGCAGAGTTTGGAAATAAGATTTTATAAAACTTTAGGATATATTTTTATATGGACATTAATGCTACTAGCATGCAGTATACAGGTAAATAAATTGAATTTTATATTTTTTATAACTTTCACTCATTTTTTACTTTTGACATTTGAAAGAAGAGAACACTTAAGAGATGAGTATGTTTGAATTCTACATCAGGTGTCTCTATCAACACATTTTGTGAGCCTTTCAATAAATTCTAAAGAGTTATGTTTACTTATTTACTTTTTATTTGTATTTTGACTCGAGTGTATATTTTAATTTGAGACAATTCAGATAATGCTTAGAAGCCAGTTAATAGCATGCTTAATAGGTATCAATAATTCATTCACTTTCATATTTTAACTGACAGTGGCGATCAAATAATATGATTTTAAATTAAAGATGATTTTGATATGCAAGGGAAATGTGTTCATATTAAAGAGGTGTGAACATCTAAGAAGTAATTACATAAAAAGATATGTTCATATTAAACAAATTTCAAATTGACATTAGGGAGGTATTTGCAAATATTGTTCATATGAGAGTAGCTTAAATAAGATGAGAGGCATTCACCATAAGAAGTGTTCACTTTTTGACATGTTCACATTTAAGGGGTGTTTGAATTGAGCTATTTTCATCTTAGAGCTGTCTACATTGGAGAAGTGTTCTCATTTGATATAGTCAAATTGAAGAGGTGTTCAAATTAGAGAGATGTTCACATTAGAGAGGTTTTCACAAGAGATGTTCACATGAGATAGGTTTTCACATGAGATGTTCACATGAGATAGGTTTTCACATGAGATGTTCACATGAGATAGGTTTTCACAAGAGATATTCATATTAGAGAGGTTTTTACATGAGATGTTCATATTAGAGAGGTTTTCACATGAGATGTTCACATGAGATGTTCATATTGGAGAGGTTTTCACATGAGATGTTAATATTAGAGAGGTTTTCACATGAGATGTTCATATTAGAGAGGTTTTCACATGAGATGTTCACATGAGATAGGTTTTCACATGAGATGTTAATATTAGAGAGGTTTTCACATGAGATGTTCATATTAGAGAGGTTTTCACATGAGATGTTCACATTGGAGAGGTTTTCACATGAGATGTTCATATTGGAGAGGTTTTCACATGAGATGTTCACATTGGAGAGGTTTTCACATGAGATGTTCACATTGGAGAGGTTTTCACATGAGATGTTCACATTAGAGAGGTTTTCACATGAGATGTTCACATTAGAGAGGTTTTCACATGAGATGTTCACATGAGATAGGTTTTCACATGTGATGTTAATATTAGAGAGGTTTTCACATGAGATGTTCATATTAGAGAGGTTTTCACATGAGATGTTCACATTGGAGAGGTTTTCACATGAGATGTTCACATTGGAGAGGTTTTCACATGAGATGTTCACATTAGAGAGGTTTTCACATGAGATGTTCACATTGGAGAGGTTTTCACATGAGATGTTCACATTAGAAAGTTAATCATAATTGAAATGTGTTAGCATTAGAGAGGTTTTTACATGAGAAAGGTGTTCACTGTTCAGTGTCCTTGTGATAGATGTGTTCGCATTGGAGATATGCTCACATAAGAAAGGTGTTCACATTAAAAAGGTGTTCACATAAGAAATGGCTCTAATGATTATTTTTTGTCATCACTATT